CTGAATATCCCAATGGAGCTAAAACACAAGAAAAGGCCTTAAACAACTATATGACAATAATAGAGGTCCTTACGGAAAATCAATCCCTTAAAGAAATCCAGGAAAACACAAACAAATGAATAAATCCCATAAAAAATAACCAGGAAAATGCAAACAACTGAAGGAAATGAATAAATCCCTTAAATAAAGTCAAGAAACAGATTGAAGAGACAGGAAGATAAGTGGACAGATGTCCTACAGACTCTAAGAGACCAAAGGTGCCAGCCCAGACTACTATACCCAGCAAAACTTTCAATCACCATTGATGGAGGAAATAAGATATTCCATCATACAAGTAAATTTAAACAATATATATCTACAAATCCAGCCCTATAGAATGTGCTAGAAGGAAAACTCCAACCTAAAGAGGTTAATTAAATACAGAAAATAATAATCTCACACTACCAAAATCAAAAGAAGAGAAACACACACACACACCAACAGCAACAATAACAACAACAAAATAACAGGAATCAATGATCATTGATATCTCCCAATATTAATTATCTCAATTCGTCAATAAAAAGATACAGACTGTTCGGATGCACACCTTCCTAGACCTGGATGGAGGCGGGAGGGTTTTGGACTTCCCACAGGGCAGTGTACCCTGACTTCTCTTAGGACTGGAGAGGGAGTGGGGAGGGTAAGTGGGGGGAGTAGGAGGGAAATGGGAGGAGGGGAGAAGGTGGAAATTTTAAATAAATAAATAAATAAATAAATAAATAAATAAATAAATAAATAAACAAAAAAGATACATACTAACAGAATGGATGCAAAAATAGGATCCATTCTTCTGCTACTTCCAAAGAACATGCCTCAATAGCAAAGATAGGCATTACCTCTGGGTGGAAGGTTGAGAAAATATATTCTGAGCAAATGGACATTTATACGATGGAGTATTACTCAGCTGTTTTAAAAAGTGACATCATGAAACTTACCAGCAAATTGATAAAACTGGAAAAACTTATCCTGAGTGAAGTAACCCAGGCACATAAATATATATATGGTATATATTCACTTCTAAGGGGATATTAACTGTTAAGTAAATTATAACTAAGCTACAATCCATACATCCAAATAGGTCAGGCTAAGAATGTAAGAGCCAGAGGAAGGAGAAAGGAGCTGTGTCCCACTTGACATGATATGGTTGCTGCACTCTTGAATTTACAGCGACTGTGACTACCCGCATGAGATCTCTACTAGACTGAGCAGTCAGAAACCCTCATAGTAGGAGGACGAATCATGAAGCCCTACCTGAGAATTTATAAGCAGGTAACACTTTCTGAAGGAAGGGAAAACGTTCTTTGGGACACTCATTGTCACACACGGTCACAGCCGGGAGGAGAGGGCTAGTTAGAAAAAGGAAGGAGATTAGCAGGAGTGGGAGAGACGCCTGAGAGGGCAACATGTATGTGTGAATATGATCAAAATACATATGTACACATAGGAAAATGTCATAATGAAACCCACTATCATGTATAATTAATTATAATTAACAGATTATCATTAATATTATTAAATTAGTAAATAATTAATAAACCCTTTTAAAAAGTAAAAAAATCTGGAGATGTAGTTCAGTAGAAGAGAGATCAAGTTCTTCTCCCACACTAAATAATATTACAGAAATGCTTATTTTACTTACGAACAGATATTACATAAAATTTACAGAGTAGAAGATGGCCTTCCAATAATAAAGTATGCCAGTAATATTTATTGTGCTCCAGATATTTTATATGTCAACTTAATTGGTTAATGGAAATGCCTAAATATCTGATAAAACACTATTTCTGGTTTTATCTGTGCAGTGTTCCTGGAAGAGATTAAAATTTGAATCGGTGGTCAGAGTAGAGCAGATGGCCTCAGACAGTGTAAGTGGCCATTATCCTGTCCACTGGGGGTTTGAATAGAAAAGTGGACAAAAGTTGGATTTTCTCCTTGATTGCCTTTGCTTGGACATCACTTTTCTCCTGCCTTCTTGGATCCTGGCCCTCAAGTCTTTGTACTATGCAGACTAGAAATTACATTATGATCTGTCTTGTCCTTAGTCCCTCAAATCCACCACTGGTTTGCCTGGATTTGACGCCTGCATGAAAGAATTAATATGCATAGAATATTATAGAAGATAAATGAATGATAGTTACACAAATATATAGGTGACAGATTGATGATAAATGATAGGTAAATAGATGAAAGATGAATGGTAGATAGATATAAACAGATTAATAGATGACAGAATAGTTAGATTGAAGATACTAGATAGATAGATAGATACACAGACAGATCAATAGATAGGTAGATAGATAAACAGATGGGTTGAAATAGAATGTTCTACTTTGGTTCCACTTCTCTGGAGAATTCTAATGTACCTACTATGTCAACAATGGAAAGAAAAGCAATTTAAAAATTAGGCTACAACCATCCTGTTTGTAGAGGGGAGAGGTTTGTGCAAAGAGCAACACCTATATGTAAAAATTGTACATAAATCAATATGGTTTTTCTATGACTATCAAGTTGCCAGCTAAATCAAGTAGACCTACTATCAAAACAACATTTCAACTCAGTCATTGAATGGAATGAGAGCTGCCAACAACAAGGGAGAGTGTGGAAGGATGAGAGGTTCCTCAGAGGGCACTAAGTTAGAGTTAGGGCCAAGAAACTCTGGTGTATCATGCCCCGTAGGGCAACTATAGATAATAGTAAATTTCTATACATTTCAAAAAGCTGAAAGAAAGAATTTTGATAGTGTTTAACACAGAGTAATGATGAGTACATGAGGAAACAGTCTTCCCTGACTTAAACATTTTATAGTATATACATATATAGAAACCTAATCTACTACCCCATTAATATGTTATTAATCAATTATAAATGCTGATGTTTATCAATTATAAATATTTCTAGTTTATATCTTTGAGATTAAAATGTAGAAATATAACCATTTTTCTTTTAAAAGCAACAGCTTCAACTATGTATCAGGAATGTTTCCCTGAGGGATTAGCCTGGGTTCTCCATTTGTAGCCCCTGAGTAAATTCCTCAGCAAAAACTCATTGCCTGAGTCAAAAGCAGCTTAAGATGTGCTGTTAGTGCCACCTACTGGTCACATTGAAACAACGTGACATTCGGGACTGTCAGTCTTCAGATTTTCAGTAATCACTTCACATTCCAACCTCAAAAACGAGACCTGCTGAACGTTGGGGAATGATGGATTTTGTTGACATGGAAGTAGCAGCAAGCTTGGTTTTCATCTGTTTAGCCTTCAAAGTCTACCCCTCTATTAAGTCTCTTTCAAGACAGGGTTTCTTGTGCAGCCCTGGCTATCCTGGAACTTGCTCTGTAGACCGGGCGAGCCTCAAACTCCCAAGTCCTGAGATTAAAGGTGTGCACCACCACTGCCAAGCTTAACATTACAGGTTCTAAAATGAAGGATCACATTAGGCATTAAACCAGAAGTGGAGGCAAAATGTGTTGGTAACACCCACATTAGTGCAGCGGATACCACTGGTCACAGAACTTCAGCTGCTGGTGTAACACGTGTCACCCCACCAGCGAGGACACTGAAACCAAATGAGTTTCTCTAAATCTGGTTAGACACATCTAACCAGCCACACCACACATTGGAACCCAGAAGCCAAACTGTGAATCTGCAGCCCTGCCTCCTGTTCACAATGCTTAACTTCCCTCCAGAACACTGTCGGCATCAGAGAGTGACTGGTTCAGTGGGGTTAGACCACAGTTCAAAGGAAACGGCTGTGATTTTTGCCCAGGCCATGAACTCAAGTTTGTAGAATGCGATGCCACTTAATCTCGGCAGTACCATTTAATCTGCAATCAACAAAGCATGGCTCTTAAGGAGAAGTGTTCATCGTTGAACAGTGTTGCGCTGTTTTTCAGCCCTCGGGTCATCGGACCATGCGCTGCTGAATACTGCTTGCTATTACACCGTTCATCTCTTGGAGTGTTCTGCTCTGCAGAACGTGGACACATGCATTCTCTTTTCTGTCCTCTTCCCAGCACATCCTTGATTGCTGTGCTCAATCATTTCGCTGTGGTTCTCCTATTATCATGGATGTGATTTCCCCAGTAAGTTATGCTTTCCGTTTAGGGGACAAAAAGTGCCAAACAATTTCCAGACTATTGACTGGCATCTTTCAGATGGCATATCAATATTCTCTCCTAAAGTAAAGAAAAGTACCCTCCCCCCCCAAAAAAAAGAATAAAACTTGGTTAAATCGCTAGCATTTACACACACGGAACTTAGGCACCATTTCAGAAATACCTTAGTACTTAAAAGTGAAATTCCTTATTCTAAAAGAAAATACTATTCTTACACAGTTTAAACCAACTTTTCAAAAATATGAATATACTTCTAGTGTACAAACACAAAATTAGTTTCATGGTTATGTCTTTAGGATCCATGCACTATCTTTTAGTGCATGACTTATTTTTGTATGAGTTCTAATCACTCTTTCCTAAGATAATACTCAAATGTCATCCCTGCCACACTTACGACTCTTCAAAGCTCTCCTGTTATTTTTCTGCATCTAGCTGCAAAAGAAAAACTATGAGTCCAATATTCCAATCACTTAAATCCTCTGGAAAGTTAATGCTTTTCTATGCTCCATGTAACCGTGAGTGCGCGGACATTCACAGGGAGGTGAAGGGCAAAAATTAAAAGTCACAGCCCTGACAGCCGTAAAGCTAATGAGGACAAGCATTCATGCTGATGTCAGCTGGTCAGTGTGGTAGTTCCCTATAATAAAGCGCCAAAAGTCATTATTAAATCTTAAATGATATTGCCAGAGCCTTAACAGCCTCACCTCAAGCCGTTTTTATTTCTTGCCTAAATACTGTTTGCTATAATTACCTCTGCTGCAGAGAAAAATTGCTGATTAACCAAATGAGAATGAAGCCTGTCTTCACTGGTCTGGTAAATAGGGCTTTCGGGCTATGAGCCACTTACCTCTCAAATGCTTTCTGGACATGAATTCTCTCTAGCAAGATGTCACCTCCATCAACCCACACTCAGAAAAGGGGACGATGACAGGCTGAGAGAGGAATCCATTGTTAACTCTTCTGTAACTGAGGTCACAGTGAAAGTGGGACACTGAAAAAAAAAACTAACCCCATTTCTATAGACTCTTTTCTTTTAACTCTACAATTGTGCTGGATAATTGTGGTCTGTACTCATCAGTTCCACATCTACAGGCTCAAAAATTGTGGGTCAAAAATATTTTAATTACATTAATACTGAAGAGACCTTTTTCCTTCTCGTTAATCCCTGAATGATACAACATAACAACTATGTGTAACATCTCCGTTGTGCTTCATAGCATAGGCATTCTAGTGATGTGTTACAGTATATAGCAGGGTGGGACATCAAAATCCTTAGCTGCCCCAGGTTGTTACCTCAGAGAGAGATGGCTCAGCAGTTTAGAGCACTGGAATCCTGAGAGGAAGAAGACAGGCGTTCTCACCCCAGTCAAGAAGTTATTTAATTGATACCTACTGGCAAGAAGAAAATCAGTTTCCTCTTCTGTAACTTCAGGGCATCCAATCTTCAGCCTACAGGCCCATCGTATCTGGCAGTCTTTTCCATAAAACAGAAAATTTGAAAGGCAGTTCTGCCTGTATTGGCAGTTTGTCAGTCACTTTCTTCTGTGTCCTACAGAATGTCTGGCAGACTCTTTCATGAAGCAGGAACCCTGAAGGACTGTCTCACCTTTAGGAAAGTTCAGCAGTCATTTTCCTGTGGGTCCTGCATGTCCACTTCATACAGCATAACATCAAGCAGTCCAGGCAAAAGCAGTTTCTTGTCCAAAGACCTCCAAAAGAACATGATATTACCTAGATTAACAGGAAGTGTATTGTAAGCAATTTCCAAAACTCTACAATTGACAGAGACATCTCGCTGCCTGAACATCACCCAAAGTTCTTCTCTAACATTCTTCTAGGCATTCATCTTCAACCTACAGGCCCATAGGTACCCAGCAAACTTTTCCATGAAGCAAGAAATTTGAAGAACTGTTGAGCCTTATAATGGCTATGTCCTGTAGAATGTCTGCAGACTCTTTCATGAAACAGGAACCCTGAAGGACAATCTCACCTTCTTTATACAATATTATTAAGAACCATTACACTGACATTTATTTATTGATTTATTTATTTATTGCCAGTCTTGTTTGGTTCTATCCGGGGACTCTGGGCTACCCAAACTCTGGTTCTTGGCCATCAACACAGTGTCAAGCATAGGCTCCCTCTTGTGATGTGTGTCTCAAATTGAACCAATCATTGGTTGGCTATCCCACAAGTACTGTGTCACCTTTACCCCAGCACATCTTGAAGGCCAGATCGATTGTAGGTCAAAGGTTTTGTGGCTGGGTTGGTGTCCCAGCCCCACCACTGGAAGCCTTGCCTAGTTACAGGAGATGACTGGTCCTGGTACTGTATCTCCCATTACTAGGAGTCTTCACCAGGGTCCCCTCTCATAGAATCCAGGAGGGTTCCATTGCACCAGCTTTCCAAACAAAGCTGCTATGAACAGAGTTGAGCAAAGGTCCATCAAGGTCTTCTTATCAGTCTAGAGTTTAAAAAACAAGCTCTCATAAACGTCTCCTTATAAGCAATTCTAAAGGTCATATTCAAGTGGTTATAGAAATAACCCCACTCTCAGCACCAGTTTTCTGTATTAAGTAACTAAAGAAATTTACAGAAGAAAGGGTTTTGCCCATAGTTCCAAGGAATGCTGTCAATATGGCAAAGGAAGGCACAGCCACAGGACCAGCTTGGTTCATGGTACAAACCAGGAGCAAAGAAATAAAAAGTCAAGATTCAGCTCACTTTTCCTCTCTTCCCTTTTTTAATCTAGGATCCCAGCCTCTGGCATGGTGCCACCTACATTCAGGGTGTGTATTCTTTGCTTTGTTAAAACTCTCTGGAAATACCCTCCCAGCTACCCCAAAGTGATTCTAAATCCATTGAGTCGAATAGGCAGATTAGCCATCACACCCCCTTACACTCCTAGACATCTCTAGATTACTCACAACATCTAATAAAATATAAATACACTGTGCAGTTATCATGCTAGACTGTTTAGAGGAGGTTGAAAAGAAAATAATCATCACAAGCTCAATTTAGATGCAGTTTTATATAGTTTTCAGGGGGTGGGGAGGTCAAAAGGCAGCTCATAGGAAAGCACTTGCCCCACAAGCATGGCAATGTGAATTTGAATCTGTAGAATTCACATAAAAAGATAGGCATGACAATATATGCCTGTAACCTCAGTCATGGCGAGATGGAAGGCAGAGAGAGAGGGACAGAGCCTTGAAAGCTCTCAGTCCAGCTAGCCAGGTCTGTATGGAAAGTTCCAGGACAAGAGAGACACTATCTCAAACAAAAATGGAAGGTTTCCAAGGACCAACACTAATGTTGTGCTCTGACCTATACACACATGTCCTATGCATATGCCCCTACACACGCATCCATATGTATCATGAGTACACACACACACACACACACACACACACACACACACACACAATTCTTTGATACCTACACAGGGCTTTATTTTCATTAAAATCATACAGAGCCGAAGCAATTTTAAAGGCATTTTCCTGCCACCTCTCTCACTACCACCACCACCACCACCTTGACAATATAAAACTCTGGAAAAAAATTCCAATTAGGGTCCTTATGAAAAAATACTCTGCAATTTGCAATTTGCTAACTTCCTAGTTCCTGTTCATTTCCTCCATGGACAAAAATAACTGCCAGGAAGGAACAAACTTCAGAAGTTACGTTTTAGAAATTTTCTAGAAACAGAGGTAAATTGTGGAAGAAATGGAAAATGTTGCCAGCGTTTCTTCTGTCTGTCCCTGTGGCAAATTGAGTGGTTTCAGAATCAGTAGAGGAGGAGGAAGCTGAGCACACGGAGAAGCTGTGCAGCTATTCACACTGATAACCAGAAGCAAGAGAAAGGACACACACAGTCCCAGACTGAGGCTGCTGTCTCTGGCCTCCAATAATAAGGGAATTGCAAGATATTAAAAAGAAAAGAAAAATCAGATCAGAAATCAGTTTGAATGCAGAGTAAAAATGTTCAAAGGAAAGATGCTTTTGTGTGTGTGTGTCATCTAAGAAACTTCGCAGGTAGCATATGTTTGGAGTTAATACAATCTATCTAAACAGCAGAGTCCCATTTCATCAGACATGTCTCTGTTCTGATGACCCTGGTACTGAGCTGGCGGGAAACATCTTTGCTGAAAATAGGGCAAGAAAGCTTTGTGCCTGCTCTGAAAAGATGCTCCCCTGAGGATGGAAAGGAAAAGAACGTGAGCAGAGAAAAAGCATCCTCACCTGCCGCTTGCCTTTGACTCTACCCTGCAGATGATTCTTTCCCTGTTGTCTGTGGCTCGCTACCCCTCCGCCCCTCTCCACTGTGTCATCTCTCTGGACGGTCAATGAGTATTCATGTGCCTCCATAGTGATTTAGCTGTCCTGTGATTAAGAATAAGACTGGAGTACTTAATATAGCTTTTTCTGATAAAGGAAGCCGTTGTCGGAGAGCAAGCCAACCATGTCAATGAGGGACATTTTCCTAAAACTAGACAATGAATAACATTGTCAACCCGGATTTACAGGCATCCTGATTGCCTTATAACGTCTGAGGCACCCCTGTCCCTTAAGAGTTCAGGGGAAGATTTGACCAGGTAGCTATTCTTGTAGCTTGTTTGTCAGAGTCAGCTAATCAGTCAAAACTATAGATCAAATGTTTATAAAGCCGATCTTTGTACTAGACCTAGAATAAAATAGAGAGGAAATTAGCAGACATGAGACTTGTACTTAAAATGTCAGGGTCTAGAGAAAGGACTTTTAGTAGATAAACTTCTGCTAACACGGAAGCTTTAGTTCACGAACTTTTGTTCAAACCCCAGCCAGGCAACAGCAATAGCAGCCACTGGAGGGAATGGATAAGAGCCAAATCCCAGCTTACTGTCTGCCCTCCAAAATTGGCCTTTCACAAACGAGATGCCTTTTAAAAGGTAACACAGTGTGGCGAGAGCCACATCCCAGAATTAAAGCACACTGGATTTCAACTGGATTGTCCCGCCACAGAGAAGACTCTATAGGCCGGGGCCCAAGCTGATCCACAGCAGAACCCAGCATTCTGAAGTCTAGAGGGACGGTTGTAAGTGAAGATCTTTCGGGTCTCTTACACTTCGCATTAAGTCGGCAGTCATCTTAAAGCCCATCTTTACTCTCTGAGTTAAGGAGCACGCTGAAGTCCAGTCCTTTTCCTAGGTCCATCAATAGGGCAATTTTTCCTTATGAGAGAATCAGTCTTTCTCTAACTCACTGCAGCCTGAGTGAGGTTTGCATTGGCAAATGTGGTGGAGTGGGTGGGGGCAGGCAAAGGAGCCAAGGAGGAAGCCAAATCTAAGGAAATGGTTTTCAGATAATGACTGGAATTTCATTAATCCAGCAGGTCTGCTGCTAGCCAGTTCCACAGATCACAGTGAATGAAAAGGCCATCTGGTTGTCCCGCGTATGGTGGCTCTGTAGTGAGTGTAAGCTCAGAGTTGACAAACTCTTAACATCTAATGGAATTATAGGCCATGATCTGACAGACTCTCTCTTAGCTTTGTGACGAAGTTGCATCCTACAGTGGAGGGAAAACTCAATGAATGTATTCTTATTTTTGTGCTGAGAACCATTTTTGACAGGGCTAGAAGTTGAAACCTGGCCTAGAGTTTGCCAGGCAAGTGTCCCATCACTAAACACTTGCCCCAGACGTGTCCTAGAACTACAAGCTACCTTTAGTCAAAACAAATTCTTTGCCGTTGTTGTTGTTGTTGTTGTTGTTTCTCAAGACAGTGTCTCTGTGAAACAGTCCTAGCTGTCCTAGAACTCACTCTGTAGACCAGGTTGGTCGCAAACCCACAGAGGTTCATCTGCTTCTGCCTCCCAAGTGCTGGGATAAAGGTGTGCACCACCACTACCTGACTTAGTCAAAACAAATT